GAGACTCTGTGAGTGTCGCGCGGACACCCCCCAGTATAGCTCAATGGGTCGCCGAGGTACACAAACCGCCACACCACGATAAGGTCCAGTCTCTTCGTGTCGGATAGTGAGTTAGATTATTCGGTTTTTCAGTTCTTCGCTCAACAGAACAATGCCTTTATCCAAGTTGAGGGACTTAGCCGGCCAGACTATCCCTCTAATGCCCGTTCATGTGACCAGTCGGTAGCAAATTCAAACTACCCGTTACAGTAGGCAACCTTCCAGTACGTCAGACGCGATCTCGAACTTATTGGTCTTCTCGGCGATTATCCGGATTCTAGCTTTCATTGGCGGATAACAGGCCTCAACGAGCTTCACAATACACCTTCAACCTAGATTATTGCTTCACGATCAGTCGAATCAGATGCATTTGGAAAGTCGGTGGATGATACTGTTTTCGGCTACAGTGGTGTGAGACGATATCCTCTTGGATATTTGATACACATTGTCTTTTCTACATTGGCTTTACGCGTGTATCCCATATTGGAGAAATATTTTGCAGAGATATCAATAAAGTCATTGTGTAAGTACCGCACAAGCAAGGATGTTCCTCCTGGTTTGTTAAGAAGTCTGACTTGCACCAGAATGTGTGAGTGGCGTGAGTTGTGAATGCGAGAGCAGGAATAACAGTTTTGAGAGAGGGAATACCACTCAGGCTACTCTCAAGCACCACCCATTGGTCGGTTTTCATTATGGAAAACGAACCGCAGGTGTAAGGTTCTAAAGCCTGTTTGTTTGAATGCAGAACAGATGTGACACGCGAACGAGAGTCAGGCAGCCAGTGGGACACGGTTATACCCTCATGCACGCTCAGTATCGTCATTTTACCCAGCACGGGATCATCAACATCAACTCAAACTTGTAGCTGTTGTGAGTTCAAATCAGTGAGATGTTTATCCAGTATTCAAATGGTCTGTTAGGGAGTTCATGTATCACTGCCCAACCCATTGGGCACGTGCAACATTTCTTCTGCCTTGGCTAGCCAGCCAGTAAACATTTATGCATAGACATCTGTGTTTGAGTGATGTCATCATCGTTGAGGTGATGCAGTTCGACCAATGTGCTCACATCAACATGTCTTTTTTGGTTTCACTGGTCTCTCTACTCTCATGCACGTGTCCCATCTGTTCCTCACCCGAAGAAGAGGACTTTTGAACATCATAAGAACCAATCAATGGACGGTCCTCAACCCTATTTAGGGTTGAATAGGTATAGACAGGAGCAGACCATCGATCAACGGTGGACCCAAACCAGTGCTTTCACGGATTGGAGGCTGTGCCTTAAAGTAATGTTCTCTCGCGCATAGAATAATTTACCTGTGAAGACTGTTCGTGACATCACGCGGAGCAAGTGAAATGTCAGGATAGACTGCAACCATAAGCTTATTGTTCGCGAGCTACATGTGTACATACAAGTGTCATGCGTCCTCACAGCGATCCGAATAGGTCACATATTTATTCTTCACATCGTTCCGAACCCATTCAGGTGTGGTAATATAACTTTAGGAGTACGTTAATGTATGTGGTCCACGCGCTGCTACACTCCGGCCAGCGCGATCAGGTGAGGAAACCTAAGCCAAGCTAGCACTGCACCGGTGAGCCGTTGCGTTCAAGAATTCTGAAGGTAGCATCATCGAGGCCTAAGAAAGCTTCATAGGTAGAAATTAGTGCCACTATCCACATCCACTCGCATAATGCTAACCGATCAAGACTTCTCAAATTTGACAGCACATGGTCGTAGTAGGATTCATTTTCGATAAATGACTGCTGTGGCTAAACGGTTACGTGTACGTTTACATGATTCTATCAATTATCATAAAATAACTCTATGAAAAGTCGCTGAAAGCTTCCACGGATGTACGCAATGGTTTTGGTGATACTTTTTACTGAAAATCTATTTTAGCTTGAACCATGCCACATGCATATGTTTTCTGCTTGTCGCAGGTCGCAGAACGTCGTGCACGCCAGTGGTGTCAAATGAAGGGTAATTTGCCCTACTTTGAGTGCAGCGCTAAAGAGGCTACCAACGTGGATCAGGCATTCCAGCACGTGGCTCGCGTTGCGCTTGCCCAAGAATCTGAAGTACGTCAAACTCTTCGTCGCTGTTTGCGTTCACTTGTTGGTTGTCACTAGTTCTGTCACATTTTTCTCTACAGAATGCCGAAAGCCCCCATCAAAATCAACATTTTTGCACCTATCTTGTTGCGTTTGATCTCACGTGGTGGCGACAACCTACGGGTCGGTTGGTAGTTCTCGCTATATTCATGGTGTGAGATATGTACGCAGCCTTCGGCTTTTCTCATGGTTTTGGAACGCAGCGTAAACCGATGCTCAAGAGCTGAGGATCACTCCATCTATCCTCAGGAGAACTTCTAGGACTTCCGAGCACAATCGTCCAGTTACGGGTGGCCGATCGGTCGTATGACGAACGTGCACTTATGTTGTCACCCAGTCATTAACCAGGTGATTCGGACCACATGGTCTGGTGTTGATTCGCTCCTCAGAATTTTGGAAGACGGCAGGTGCACGCATTTCATATTGGTTCGTCAGCACCAACTTACTAATAACAAGAAAAGGAACTTTTTGTAGTCTCTGTCTTCCTGTCCATTAGAAGGCTAATTTCTTTTGCACAGCGTCCTAATTCTTTGTACGTAGTTTCATTTCCACATCTCACCCTATGTTGAGTAGCCACAATCGTTCAGATGTAACATCCTTTCGGTGCCTAACTGCCATGCTACCTGAAGGAAACACGATAGCTGGGATACTGCCAGGTTCCTCAAGCCTAGGGGAGTCGAAAGACAGGGGTCGCGTCCGAACCACGGATCTTCTGGTCAGTAAATCCGCGGTCTAACCACTGAGCCATCTCGCCCCTGTTTCTTCGGAACCGTCAGTAGTGAGCATTTCTGGTAGAACTTCCTGCCTTGAATAATCTACGGTTGGGTCGCACGTGGTTAATCAGCAGTGCGGTTAGCTTGCACTTATTCATTTCCATCTTGTATAGACCTACCTCGGTTGCGTTTCTCTACTTACGTTGCTATTGGGTGCTCTCTAATTGCAGTCGATTTTTCGCACTTTATCCTCACCACGTGACCGAGAGGTGTGTTTTTGTTTCTGGTTTGCAGCTGATAATTACTTCTTAGGGCTGCCCACGACAGAGTAGTTGTTCGAAGATGTTGGTTGCAGAGTAATTAACTACACAAGTCAGGCGAAAATTTCCAACCCCAAAGTCGGAATACCCAGGTCAGGTGCACTTTGTGATTAATTACGAACATGTCATTGAATGTGGCACGTATCTGAAGTGCAACCGCGTGGATTAGATTATTCGTTTGCTCCATTCACAAGGTGATGGGTTTGTTTTGTGCCTTAGTATGTGCTCGCATAGTTCCGGTTCGGACAGACTAGACCAAAACAATGGACCAGAGTTCAGCCTGATTGAAGTGTGCATACACGTACGACCTAGTGAAAGTCACACGCCGGACCATTCAGCTCGTTGATGGAAGGCATCAATTAAACTACCTTTGCATGTGTTTTAGAATTTTTTCCACCGTGCGGAACTGCAATCTCAGTGTTGACTTGACGGCGACTTAATTGGGCAACAGTCTACCAAACTCAAATGCTGTAGTGAGAAAGCTCCTTCCAAAGAAAATGCCGGTAATGGCATAGACCATCCAGAGCAACCAAAGTTAGTTTTTGTCTTCATGAAGAGGTGGTGTCGCGTAAGCGGTATGTCCAAGCTGGATGTTAGTCGGCCCACTGCAGAAGCCCATCCACATGTCGTGGGTTTAGAAATGATCTTTTGAGCTGAATTATTAGTTTATGAGAATAGCCCACAAGACCTTGGAGTGTGTCCGCTCAGTAAGGCTTCCAGCTGTTGTAGTTTTCTTCTGTATGGTTCGAAAGTGAGTGAGTCTGGCGCTACTGGGAAAGAAAGTGGTCACCTTCACTTCGTCACGCATGGTCTTCCAGTTTTCTTTCGAATGTAGATATGCCAGGGTCGGTTATTATCGATCTTAAAGATTCCTGTTTGGCCTGGACGATGTTCACCGCCTGAATGCCCATGTGCGCATGATCATGCGTGAGTAGGCGAGGTCAAATCTGGGCTCATAGTGCACTTCATTTGTCGAACGGCTGTTGTGTCACATGGAATCGTCCCGGGTGCAATAGCCATTCTTCGGGGGTTTTGAATTTGCAGATTCAGCTGTCTGATCAGTGTAAAAATCCGTGGGGGCGGGTTTCGAAGTTTTCCCCCGCACGTTTACCTGATTTGCACACTCCTGTGGTCAAGGTTGTTTTCAAAGGATACCATTCTGTTTTGATTGGTTCCGGCGCCAACAGAATAGTTTATTTGACTGCGATTTACTTATCTTACTGTTTGATATGTTCCCTGTCATCTCACCGTACACAGTTCACACCGCAATCGTAGTTTGTTCTCTGGTCACTTCTTTTCTACCGGTTTAAACCTTCAGGTGGTGTTCGAAGTTTCCCACCTTTCGTGATATTCTGAGTCACTCTTGATCAGGGAGAGAACGTCAATATTTTCTTCTTAGCCCACATGTTTTTCCGTTTACGGCTAACCAGATTTTGGCGGGAGACTCAATGGACTTTCGTTCAGCATATTTTCCAAATGCATGTACTGCCCCAAGGTTCTGTAATGAAGATTAACGCTAATAAATACCGAGAGAACTGTTGTTTACCTGGAGGTCACTTTCAACCTAGGACCGCACCCTAAAAGTGCGACACATTGTCATTTAGGGGTGGGATACAATGTTTGACTGGGATTGCAACTTTCCACGGTGAACCAATGAGATTCACTAAGTGTCCATGTTCTCACTCAACTCTTTCCGTCAATTTACGGCCGAATTCTAAAGAATCCGAACGAACATGGTGATTGACAAACGAGTTGGTTCTGCAGCGTGAGCATCCTCAGCGCGGACAAAGCTATACTATAATCAACTATAGAATACAGAATACTGTAAGCATCGTTTTCAAGAGATAAGCCGTGGGGAAATTAACTTCAGTTCCCACATGGCCTATATAGAACTTGATCGGTTGGTTTTCGTTACCTCAGATGCTGCACAGTTTTCCTTAGAATCTTCACTAGGTCGCACGAAAGTATATGGTCGTCTCGATAAGTTCAACGGTAGGGTTGCTGTCGTCTAGATGCATGGCCTTCGTTTCGTGTTTTAATAACACATAGTGGTTGAGGCTCGGTCATTTTGGCTTTTCTGCAATTTCGGAGTCAGATTACTCAGTTTCTGGCTTGTCATCTGGATTCCGGTTTGCTGCCATAGATGCTTCTGGGAAACTTCATTTCTCCAACATCTCATCTGAAAGAGCATTTGCACTAAGCCATTTGGTGACAAGTTTTGTTGATTTTCAGAGACCGATCTGCTCATATGGGGGTAAAGCGTATCATCCAGTTGGGGAGGCTTTGAAGTTTCGGTCAGTTTGTTTCCTGCCGCTGGTACTGATCAGCACTCAGGAGATTGTAGATGGTGAAAGCCATCTTTGGCAGCAATTTCTTCGCCTCATCAGAATTTCGAGGCGGATGAACATTCATAAGTTGAAGGGTAGCACATGCGCCTCTCACCGTTGCTACACTCTGATAAGCTGTGACTCATTGCGCTTGATGTGGCCGTTCACTTTGTTGCTAATCCCATTTCAGTTTTTGAGTCAGACACCGTGCATCCAAGTGCAGTGGTTCCAGTTACTACAGCTTCGTTCACTAACGAGAAAGCGGAAAAGAAACTGTGAGCCAAACATAGAAGGCCATGGCCCAATCTGTTCATTGACCTTACACGGTTCTATTTTCCGAAATTCCCAGTATAGTTGACTCTCTTGGATCGAAATTGACGTCTCCATCTCCTTGGTATTGTTTCGACAACCCTTAGAGGCGTTAAGTTTCTGGGTATGCTTGTGCAACAAAGTGCAACTTACATAACATTTGTAGAAAAACCGCTATTACGTAGTCACAACCATGCAGTGCGTCCAATCTATATCCACACTATCCACTGCACCAGAATCGTGTCTGCCTCTCTGGTCACTATAGCGTGGAACAGTCGAGCCACAAGTGAGAATTTGTGGATCGAAAAGAACAGGGCTGCCCGAAATGGGCACAACCAACCCCTTCCTACGTGACTTTGTAATCGACCGATATCAGGGTATCTGTGCTTTACTCAGTTGGTTTACTGTCCACTATAAGCGCAATGAAGTACATTCCAAAGTCTATTCTTTGGGGTATCACAACTAGTTTGTCCTTCAGCAACAACTTCACGGACTGACTTGATGCAACGAAGTGTGCGCTATTTGCAAGTTCATTCCAGTGAGCTGCCATCGTTCACAGTTAGGCTGTATTTGTCAGTAAGCGGAATTCGTGTTGTGTGCGACGTTGCTTTCTCATATCGGTCAACATTGTGTAATCTGTGTTTCTTCGTGTGCTTTTTACGCACCCGTACACACATTGAAACACGCCTACGTTGACGAAAACACTACATCAGATTGACGCGCTTACTTTCACTTTGCTGATTCACTATGGTCAGATGGTTTTGTTTATATTTCATAACTATGTCTGACCCGTATTCAGCGTCACACTGCAACATTCTGAGTAGACCGAACCTGCATACCCGCATCAAACATGCGATCGATGCGTCCACAACGCCTGCATCGTTGTCAGCTGCTTAACTTCGAATCAGCTGTTCACGGACCTGTGAAACATGTGACCTGACCGGTCGCCTTTGGTGAGTGGTCGATCACTACTTGGAACAGCGGTAGGCAACATAGAAATTTCATACGTGTGTCACCTTAAAATGCGTGAAAAACACGTTGAAGGCGCGAACCCCATTTTCAGAAAACAAACTAGTTCCATGGGTTTGGACGCAAAAGTGAATTGTACCTTGGGCGAGATGGCTCAAGTGGTTAAACCGCGAATTTACTGACCGGAAGTTCTGTGGTTCGAACCCGACCTCTGCCTCTCGACTCCCCCTGTCTAGGCTTGGGCGATCTGGCAGTATCCCAGCTCTCGTGCAACCTCCGGGTGGCATACCGGTTAGGCACAGAAAGTGTGGCGCAGCTGAACGAATT